GGGCAGAGGTTGCAGGGGTGTCGATCGTCGTTGGCAATTATGACTGCACGAATGCATTCGCGGGTACATCACGTGAACCCCTCTGCGACCTTGTGGAGATGCAGGCTTTAGAGCGAGACAAGAAATTTGCAGTGGGAGCTATTGTCCATCAGTCGCTGACGATAAGAGCATCGAACGGCATGGCACACTTACAAAGCCACACGGGCACGCAGATGGGGTTCACACTTGCACCCAGGGACTTCAATGACATATACAATGAGCACGTCGAGGAGTGGGAGGAGGGGGAGCACGAGCACGGGCATCACGAGCTACTAGAGACAGAGCACCCGATCACGAACACATACCACAACTTGTCTCTCAGCACGTTCATGGATGACATCACGAAGATACATGTGATTACAGAGGGTTGCAGCTCGGAAGTCATCACGCAGTTTCTGAACGATTCGACGCACAGGCTGGAAAAGGTCATCGAGAAAGGAGGGTGGACACTCAATGCTGGAAAGACGAACCATCTTCTCTGTCTTCGAGGGGAGGGGAGTTACCAGGCAACCCGGAGGCTAAGAAGGTCTAAGGAGCTACACGGAGCTGCCTGCAGAGAGGTTCGGGTCCTGGGGCCATACATTCCGTCGGACCAGGGACTGCTCGGTGAAGTATCTCGGCGATGTGCTGCTGCAAAGATGGCGTGGAGACAATGTGGGGCTTTCTGGAAGGCACGAACAAGTAAGACAATAAAAAAGATGATGTTCGAGGCTTTCGTTACGGGAGCAGCTTACAGTGGTATGGTAGTATTCGTCCTCCCCCCGTCCCTGATTAAAGTTATCGACTCGACGTTAGCTAAGCTACTAAGATGTCTAGCAGAAGGAGACCTGAGTTGGACGGATGAAAAAGGTGAAACAAGATGCAGCACAAATAAAGAAGTATTTAAGTATTGGGGTCTCAACGACACAGACACAATTTTTCGAATGAGAAGGTTCAAATGGTACCAGGCGTGGGCTAAGTACTCAGAGCAGCACAGCGGAGTTCTCGCGGCTGTATTTGGAGACTCTCGCCTGGATCAGTTACGGCAGACCCCGAGGATGACCCCAGACAAGTACGTGTGGCCCCCAGGGAGTGCAGGTCAGTCTACTCCGTGGGCTGTCCAGTTTCGAGAGGACATGGACGAGCTTGCCCAGGTGGATGAGAGCATGTCGGTTTGGTATAATGCACGTGCCAGCGACTTGGACATCTTCCTACCAGGTACCGAGGCACATGATAGATGGCCACTGGTCGATCCTCATATCCTAGGGAACACAAAGAAAAGAAGAAAGGTGGGTCCCGAGGGCCAGGAGAAGGAGGAGGAGGGCATCGCCGACGAGGAGGTTACACTGGAGGGGCTGGAAAAGCCATACTGGTGCGACCATCAGGAGGGAGGAGGGGGGATATGCGGAAAAAGGTGTTCGAGCATCAGCGCCCTGAAAGGCCACGTAAGAGAAGCACACAACATCAGGGATGCCCTCTCCAATATAGTCATCACCAATCAGTGCCCGTGGTGCCTCTCGGGGTTCTCGACGAGGAGGGTGGCCCTAGATCATTGCGTGCGTGCATGTCAAAGACACGGAGTATGCCACGTGGATAAATCAAGATGGTCCCATCCGATCCTCCCCCCAGAGACGCTGGTCTGTAACATTTGTGATCAAGAATTCCCTGACATCGCGAGTTTTCACCAGCACGCCCGCTTCTTCTACTTCGGCCCAGACATTGTCGTGGGCGCCCATGATGAAGGGATGGAGGATCGGCAAGAGAGGAGCAGACGGCAGCGGGAGTGGAGACGTTCCAGTAGCAACATTGCCGAAAGGCAAGGGTGGCAAGAAGGCTCGCCAGCAAGGAAATGCAGCAGACGAAGACATCGTACAGGCGGTGATGGCGGTGCAACAGCTCAGCCTCAGGACAGCAGCCGTCGCCAGAGATCTATCAAATATCGTCGGAGAGTTCTGGCTCGTGCCGTCAGGGCACGACATCATCAAAGCAGCAAAAGAGACGGGCTCGAGTTACAACGAAAAAGTGCAGTCTCTAGGAAAAGGGCATGGACTAGGGCCACCGTACCTCCACGTGTCGGTGGCGGCGACCGAGGCGATGGCGACGAGTCTGGACGAAAACGAGCAAGAGGAGGCGCAGGCGAAGATCAGCATCACGCAGTGGGTAGAGCAGGCGGAGTCGGAGGCGGGGCAGGCGTTCGTAGGAGAGACGATCAGAATGTTCAAGGTGAGCGACACGTTCAGGGCGGACGACGAGATGGACGACGGGAATCGCATGACGAAGGTTATGTTCGCCCTCAGCCCACACTACGACATCACGACGGCCATGAAGCAGATGAAAATCCAGCCGACGGGGGCCAAGCCTCCGACGGAGTTCAACGGCGTGCGGCTCCTCCAGGCGATGGGAGTGGCGTTGCACAAGGCGGGAGGGCACAGGCCAGTGGGGAGCGGGCCGAAGGAGGAGCTAGACAGGGTGGTCGAGCGCCAGCTGAAGGCGCTGCAGAAGAAATGATTGTGATCATAGGCAGTCGGTCCGAGAGAGAAGCAGAGTTTGTAGCAGCAATGCAGTCAGACCCCATGGCCAAGATAGCTACCGACCCAGTTGCAATGACTAGACTTAGGCAAATGCATGCTGAAGGGTCGCAGCACGCTAAGAGACTTTTAGAGAGAGCAGAGATTTTTCGTTCTAAATTTAGTGCAGAGCTGAGAAAGCTAGAGAATGAGTAGAGGGCGTGTTTCCTTCTGTCGAGGGCCTACTGGTTGGCCCTGGTAGGCGGGTCCTGGCCCGTGTGGCTCCGTCGACCAGGAGACGGCTGGTGGGCTGACGGGAGAAGGCCGATGCCCTGCCCAGCCTCGGCCGCGCGCTGCCAGGGAGCAGCAGCCGCCAAGGCCACCCCATCTCCGCCTCTTCCCCCCCCCCTCTGAGAGTGGCCTCCCTCCTTCTTCTTCTCCCTCCCGTGTGTGCTGAATGCGGGTGCCTTCCCGCTCCACGGGGCACCCTCCCGCCTCAGCGAGGCAGAGGGCCGCCCTGAGCATGCGCCCGTGCGAGTATAGATGATGCAGGGCGCGTGAGAGATCCACGCAGGGGAGCGCGAGGCGCTGTAGCAGCAGCTGGACATGCACCCCCGAGCGCAGAGCCGAGCCGAGCCGAGCCTCCTCCCCCTCCCCCCCCTCCTCCTCCTCCTCCCCCGGACTCCCGCCCCTGCTCCTGCCCCCCCACCCCCTTCCGAGGGTGACAGCCGCGCCCTGCCTGGCGCCGCGCATGCCTGGTGGAGAGGGCGAGGGAGGCAACGGAGGCAAACGGCAGGCGAGTTGAGCAAGACACGATGTCGGTTTCACTGAGATGTGGCTTCTACCACTCGACCGGAGGATCTGGAAGGGAACCTTTCCCTTTCCCTCCTACTCGATGTCATGCTCAAATCAAGCCTGAGATTACTGCACCTGCCTGGCGCCAGAATGTTCAAGAACATGATCAAATGAAGTAGTGCATTCGACCGCTAGTGTGGCTGCAACTGCCTAAGCAGCGCTAGGCGAATGAATTGTGCACTGCCTTGTGGGGAACTTCCGCTTCTCTACCACTTCCATGAATGACTCTGAAGCGGGTTCTGCCGCTGAAATGCCGTAGCCGCTGAGCTGCTTTTCGAGCTCGCTGAAGACACATAGTACTCTCGAAACGTATTCCCTTAGGTGCGAATTTCACCAGAACTGGATCAGGGTGCGGATCCTACCGCCTTGAACTGTTTTACGCATTGCAACCAAAACTGGGGAAACTGCAGAAGAAACCTCATAATCTAATATTTGCTTTCTGCCCCAGCTGCATCACGACCTACCTGGCCGTCGCTGTCCTTCCGGACCATTTTACTCTGTTGTAACGCTTGGATCCCATCGCTGGCCCTGGCGAGCTGCTTGCTCAACGACTCGATTATGAGGCCTTGTTTGGTATCCTTCAGCGGCTTCAGCCTGACGGGGGGAGATGTCTCTTTGTAATTTTATTTCTACTTACATTGTTTGCTCAAGACTTGCCGCTCTAGCGAGTCTGATGCAACATCTGATGCGGTGCTCAATTGCTCCACTGGTGTTGCCTGTCGCGCCTTCCCGAAGCAGGCCGCTTCCTGCTACGATCCTTCTGGTCGGGCCCCCTTCACGTCGACCTCTTTCTTGAGCGGGCCTTCTCTTTCCGCCACTTCGACGTCGAGCACTCCTTTGGACGGTCAATATCGTAACACCTCTTCGATGTCAACCGCTTCCTAGATCAGTCCTGCCCGTCTTTGGATTGGTTGTTGTGTTTTCTCTGCCCGTTGGACGTAAGTGATGAATCCCTGCTTAGCTTCACAAGCGATTTACTGGCTTCCTGATGCTTTGACCTTGGGGCTCTAGGAGGTGTGGGAAGACTTGGTCTGGGAAGTTGTTTAGCCCGATCTGGCTGAACATCACCGTGACATGGTACTCCGCACTCGCAAGCAGGCTTTGTGCGAAGGCGACTGCTCCAGATCTGACAGCCATCCCGGAGGAGCCATACCAGGTAAGCTGCCTGAGAACTAGGCTGGTTGAGAGATGATGTGCTGAAATGGGATGCTGCCTAAGGAGCCTTCACCCACAGGGAGTTTGTGTGACGCGGCGCGTGTCTGTGCAGATAGTGTACCGCGGGCATGCTGCGTTGCGGCCCAGGCGGGCTTCCGCGCAGCGGGGCAGGCTGCTCCTGCCCAGCCGGCTCGAGAGATGCTTTCCTTGAGCCAAAACGGCTGCGGGCCCCCCTCCTTGGAGGAGGGCGAGGGAGGAGGAGGCGGAGGATGGAGGACGAGGAGGAGGCGGAGGATGGAGGACGAGGAGGAGGAGGAGGAGGTGGAGGAGGAGGAGGAGGAGGAGGAGGAGGAGCAGCAGCAGCAGCAGCAGCAGCAGCATGCAGCAAGGAGCGAGGAGCAGCAGCAGCAGCCGCAGCAGCAGGATGATGACCAGTCTCTCTCCTGGGCCCCCGCGGCTGCCGTC